CCAGGAAGCAGCCTCCCTCTGGGGCAGGTGAATGATGGTCACAGATCGGCTGCGGTCGGGTGATGAGAAAGAAGTGCAACCAGCAACTAGCATGAATGGCCCTGCGGGAGTGTGGCTGGCCAGGGGGCGAGGGCAGCAGTTGTAGGGGCCTGCGCTTTCACATGGAAAAGACTGAGCTCTGCTGGCGTCCGATGGTCAGGGCAGAGGCTGACACAGCACCACACGGGAGCAGGGGCCTATCCGGAGAATGTCCCCAGGGCAATTCATTCTTTCTGTAAGGCCAGGTGGTCTTCAAGTTCTTTGCCTATTACTATTGATTGCTCACCCGTGTGGTTCTTATATCAAACATCTGCGTGCAAAGAGCTGTCCAGATGCTGTGTGGAGGGCAGGGAGCTGTGGGCTCTGGGGCACTGGCTGCAGGAGGCAGAGTCTGGGTATCCGGGCAAGGGGGAGTCCATGGGGCCTCAGGGCTCTCCGTTCACTCCTTGGGGTGGCCACTGGTGGGGTGTGCATCTGCACTTGAACACACCCTCACACAACATCGCACACTCGCACACTGACAAAGATTCTCTCCATGACCAAACTTCAGTCAGGCTGTTCTGAGGAGAGTTTGATGAGGCCTCAAACCTCGAGCTCCTGTGTCCTTTCTTATAGAGTCTAGTTCCAGGAAAAGTCTTGCTAAGTCAGTTTAGGGAGAATTTCCCACCTTCCAAATATGATCACTCTCACTGTCTACTCAGGTTCCTCCCCCTCTCCCCCTTCCCCACCCTGTGATGTCTGATCCCCTTGGCCCGCCTTCAGCGAGAATCCTGTTAGATGTCCCCTTACCCCTGAGATTTTCTCTTTTTTTTTTTTATTTTTTTTTAATGTTTTACTTATTTTTAAGACAGAGACAGAGCATGAGCAGGGGAGAGGCAGAGAGAGAGAATCTGAAGCAGGCTCCAGGCTCTGAGCTGTCAGCACAGAGTCAGACGTGGGGCTCGAACTCACAAACTGTGAGATCATGACCTGAGCCGGAGTTGGACGCTCAACTGACTGAGCCACCCAGGCGCCCCGAGGTTTTCTCTTAGTAACTGTTTATCCGCTGGTACCCACCCTGCTTCCTGACTATAAATCCCCACTTGTCCTCACTGGATTCAGAATTGAGCCCAGTTCTATAATGAGATCTATTTCCCACTTTGCAATAGTTTTTCTTAATAAAATCTATTTTTACTACTTTAACTGCTGCTAGGAATAACTTTAACAACATGCACACTGCTGACATTCATTCCCATACTTCTACACTTCCACACACATTCCCCACGGTAGCTGGATGACCCTGGATGCCAAGGCAGCTACCTAGCAGAGGGAGCATCTGGGCCTCTCCCCCTGGAGTCCTGAGAGTGAGATTTGGCTGACACACAAAGTGGTAGTATATGCCCCACCTTGGTGCTGAGATGGTCTGTGGGATGAAATCCAAGGCCTGCAGGCAGCTGCTACGTCCGCCAGGCAGGGGCTGGGCTGGTGGGAGAGCCTGCCTCTAGTAGGTACCTCTGGGTATGTCTGCATGCATTCATACGTGTGTCTTTTCTTTCTTTTCTTTTCTTTTCTTTCTTTCTTTCTTTCTTTCTTTCTTTCTTTCTTTCTTTCTTTCTTTCTTTCTTTTTAGAAAAAGAGAGCGGGGAAGAGGGACAGATAGAATCTCAAGCAGGCTGCATACTCAGAGTGGAGCCCAACATAGGGCTTAATCCCACGACCCTGGGATCATGACCTAAGCTGAAATCAAGAGTCAGACGCTCAACAGATTTATCCACCCAGGTGCTCCTATGTCTATTTTTTTTTTATAACAGCATTTTAAAATAAGATGGAATTCACGTTCACACTCCTAAAGTGTACAATTCAGTGGTTTGTAGTGTTTTCACTATGATGTGCCACCACCACCACTAATTCCAGAACATTTTTATCACCCCAAACAAAAACCCAATACCCATTAGCAGTCACTCTCCATCCCCCCTCCTCCAAGCCCCCGACAACCACTAATCTACTGTCTCTACAGATTTGCCTTTTCTGGATATTCCATATGAATAGAATCTTAAAACATGTGACCTTTGCATCCGGCTACTTTCATTGAGCATAATGTTTTCAAGGTTCATCCATTGTCAGCACTACGTTACTTTCTTTTTTTCTTTTTAATATTTATTATTTTTGAGAAAGAGAGAGCACAAGCAGGGTAGGGGCAGAGAGAGGGGGACAGAGGATCCAAAACGGGATCCGAGCTGACAGCAGCAGCCCAATGTGGGGCTCGAACGCACAGACTGCAAGCTCATGACCTGAGCCGAAGCTGGACGCTTAAACAACTGAGCCACCCAGGGGTCCCAGCACTGGGTTACTTTCTATGGCTGAATAATATTCCATTGTATGAATAGATCACATCTTGTTTATCCATTCACTGGTTGATGGGGGTTACTGGGTTATTTACACTTTTTGGCTATGATGAACAATGCTGCTATGAACACTTTGTGTGGGCACATGTTTTCAGTTCTCTTAGAATTGATGGGTCATAAGGTAACTCTATGTTTGACTTTTTGTGGAAATGCTAAATTGTTTTCCACAAAGGCTGCATCATTCTTCATTCCCACCAGCAATAGATGAGGGTTCCAGTTTTTCAACATCCTTGCCAACACTCATTGCTACCTGCCTTTCTGATTGTAGCCAGTGGGTGTGAAGTACCACCACAGTGTGGTTTTAATTTGCATTTCCATGATGACAAAGGATGTTGAGCATCATTCATATGCTTATTGGCCATTTGATTTCTTTGGAGAAATGCTTACTAAGTCCTTGCCCATTCTTTTTTTTTTTTAATGCTTGTTTGTTTATGTATTGAGAGAACAAGGAGGGGAAGGGCAGAGAGAGAAAGGGAGAGAGAATCCCAAGCAGGCTCTGCACTGTCAGCACAGAGCCCCACGCAGGGCTCAAACTCATGAACCCATGAGATCATGACCTGAGCTGAAATCAAGAGTCAGACCCTTAACCAATGGAACAACCTAGGTAGCCTTTGCTCATTCTTAAATTGATTTGTTGCTGTTGAGTTATAAGAGCTCTTTATATATTCTGGATACAAGTTGTGTTATCTGTATGTCTGTGTGAGTCTAAGTGTATGGCTATGTCTGAACAGGCACACCTTTGCCTCTCACCATGGACACAGGTAAGCAGAGGGTATCATGATCAGCTAAGAAGAGGTGAGAGTATCTTATCTCCAGATCTCCATGTTACAAAGTCAGGTTTATTATCTCCAGGTTATGGAGAAAGAAGTAGAGGACCAGAGAAGTGAAGTCATTTGCCTGAGCAGGAGAGAGTAAGAGGCAGAACTGGTATACAAAAGGAGCCCACTGAAGAGGTGATTTATTGGTATGATTTTTGGGAGTGAGCATCTTAGGGCTGTTCCTTTGACAACAGAAGACAGCAAACCATAAGGAAGATGAAGAAGACCCAAGGAGATAGAGGCGATCAGTGCCACCCACAGGCCAAAGCCCAGTTCAGTGCTTGACGGGTGACATGGGTTTTGGTTGAGGAAAACAAAGGGTTCCTTGGATTAGGATCCCTTTGGTGTGTCTGTCAGTGGTCAGAAAATACTAAGAGGCCATTTACACAAAATATCAGAGCAAGAAAATCCATGCAGGCAGAAAGCAGATTAATGGGTGTCAGAGGCCAGGGGCAGAGGGAATAGAGAGTGACTGCTAATAAGCATGGGGGTTGTCTTGGGAGTGATGTAAGCCTTTTGGAATTAGAGAGCAGTGATGGTTGCACAACCTTGTGATTATACTAAAAAGTGAACTGTATACTTTAGAAGGGTGAACTTAAGGTATGTGAACTATAGCTCAAAAAAAGTTAATTTTTATTTTTTTAAGTTTATTTTTATTTATTTTGAGAGAAAGAGAGATAGTAAGCAGGGAGGGGCAGAGAGAGAGAGGGAAACAGAATCCCAAGCAGGCCCTGTCCTGTTAGCGCAGAGCCCAATGTGGGGCTTGAATTCACAAACTGTGAGATCATGACCCGAGCTGAAGTCACGAGTCGGATGCTTAAGTGACAGAGCCACCCAGGTGTCCCCTTAATTTGTAAAGAGGAAAGGATATGGGAAGAGGACCAGGTAAAAGGGCAAACCCTGGCAAAGGGGAGGGAAGCAATGAGAGTCTATGAGGTGTAGGAGGAGGGAGATGAGATGCCTCAGGCCTTCAAGATGGTGGGAGGTGATGTGGGCAGTGGAGAGAGCACAGCTACCAGGTGCTGTGGTGCTGAAGCAGGTGTGAACTGTAGCTGAAGGCCTTGCCACACTCCCTGCACAGGCAGGGCTTCTGGCCCATGTAGGTGCACTGGTGCTGGCTGAGGTGTGACCGCTGGACGAAGGCCTTGTGGCCTTGCCACACTCCCGCCAGGCACAGGGCCTCTCACCCATCCGGCCCCGCTGGTGCTGGCCAAGGTCTGCGCTGCCTTTAAAGGCTCTGCCACAGTCTAAGCACTCGTAAGTCCTCTTGCCTGTGTGGATCTTGTGACACTGAGTGTGGAACTCTGCCCAAAGGCCTGCCACACTCAATACACTCACACGGCTCCTCACCACTGTGTGTCCTCTGACAGTGGATCAGGGTGAGCTCCACCTGAAGGCTTTCCCACAATTCCAACACTGGTAGGGCTTCTCCCCTGTGCGAATCTGCAGGTGTTTCCACATGTCTGAGTTCCCCAAGAAGGCTTTGCCTACATTTGTACTGGTTCTCTCCAGTGTGGGTCCTCTGGTGCATTGTGAGTGTGGAGCTCTGAATGAAGGTTTTTCCACACTCATGGCATTCGGAGGGTTTCACTCCAATATGGATCCTCTGGTGCTCAGTGCGGTCAGACTGGGAAAAAGACTTTCCCACAGGTGCTACACAGATAAGGCTTTTCCTAGGTTGAGTCCCTTAGTGCACAGAGAAGGCCAAGTGCTGCTTGAAACTCTTTCCACACAAGCCACACCTGCAGGGCTTCCTGTCCACACAGGTTGCCTACAACACATCTGGCTCTGGAACCTGCTCAAAGCTTCCTCCATGTGTGACTAACATGTGTGGTGTCTTCTCCACAGCAACATTCTTTTGTTTGACAGGGCTCGAAGGTATCCTGACACTCCTCACAGATTCACTGCCTCCATAACCTCTCCCCACACTAGGATTTTCCATGCTGGGGACTGACCATTGCTTAAATTCTTTTTCCCAGAAAAGCAAATGTTGCCCTATGTCCTCAGTAGGACCTCTGTTCCGGTTCCCTGAGTAGGCCTCAGGAGCGCCAAAGTGTGTGAACACAGACCCTCATGAGATCTCTTTTCTGACGACCTCCATTATTATCCTCGGGATGGATTGCAGCAGGTCCTTGAATATGCTCTGTGGTCGCCTTCCTTGATCAGAAAGAAACCAAGATCACAAATGTTAACTTTGTTGACTTTTCTGAACTGAAAGAAAGAAATCAAAAGGATTGATGATGTGGATGGAATTACTGGCTCATTTCTTCACCGCTCCTCGTGTACACACCTTTGGCCACATTTGTGGTTCCTCTCACTAAGGACAGCATGGATACCCTTTCCTTAACTTTGGGTGTGGCCACGTGACTCATTTGGCCAATGGAATGTGAGTGGCATTGCTAGTATGTTAGTCTTGAGCCTAGGCGCAAGCGTGCTGGCATCTCTGCCATCACCATGAGCCCTACAAAGCAAGTGCAACAAAGATGGACCCAACCTGTAGCCTGGAGCCAAGCCCCAGCCAGAATAGCCAATCCTTAGACTCATGAGAGGAATAAGTGCTTGTTTCTGTCAGTAACTGAACTGTTGAAACCGTTAATTACAGAGGATAACTGATTGATACAGTGCCAAGTTAAAACGAACACTTCCTCAAAAAGATGAGGTTTGAAATCTGGGGAGAGGATGAGAAAGAGACAGAGAGGAAGAGAGGAAAGTCTATTCAGGAAAGCCCAGAGGCCTAGAACACTGGTTGAATAATCAGAGAATAAGCACAAAAGGGGTCTCCCAAGGTCTGGAGTATGGAGTTGAAGGGCCATGGTGCATATGGAAGGTAAATGAGAATCCAGTTGTCTGTCCATCTGCCATTCAGTTATTCATTCCTTGTTCTTCAGCAAACTTTTCTTGTGCTGTGCTAAAGGCAAAGAATACCTTGGCCTCAGGCCGTGGAAAGGGCAGGACTCCTCCCAGCTCTAACAGCACAGACTCACAATCTGTACAGAGAGGAACGCCCTGAGGGAAGCTCCCATGGAGTTTCCAGGTCACCCCACACCTACTAACTGTCAGTCTGGGCTCATTCCTCCCTGGCACCTGGGTCTCCTCTAGATGCTACCCTCTCTCTCCTCTCCTCAGGAGCCTCCCAGAAAGTATCCCCACTGTCATACCAATGCCCCTTCGACCCATTATGGAGTGAAGTGTGTCCCCCCCCCCCAAATTCATATGTTAATATCCTAACCTAAGCCCTAGAATGTGACTGTATTTGGATATAAGACCTTTAAAGAGGTAATTAACATTAAACAAAGTCATGTGGGTAGGCCCTGTTCCAGTATGACTGGGAGAGAGAGACCAGGGGCATGCTAATGAGGAAAGGCCATGGTGAGGACACAGCAAGAAAGTGGCCATCTACGAACCAAGGAGAGAAGACTCAGGAGAAACCAACCCTGCCAACAACACTTTGATCTTGGACTTCCAGCTTCCAGAGTGTGAGAAAATAAAAGTTTATTGTTTAAGTCACCCAGCCTGTGGTATTTTGTGATGGCAGCTGTAGCAAACGAAAATACTTTCAGGGTCCTGAGCCAGCCTTGCTCTGCCCTTGGATGCTGCGCTTCAACCCATTAACCCTGTCCACTCCACCTTCAAAACAGATCTCTATCTGACCACTGATCAACACCTCTACCTCCACCATCGTGATCTGACCTACTCTGCTAACCAGGACTCCAGCAGCATTCACCTCCCAGGTCTCCCTACCTCTACCCTCACCCCAACAGTCTTCCCTTGTAACCACCACAAGAATCCTACAGAGCTAAAGTCACAGCACAGTCTTCTGCCCAAAGGCTTCCCATGGCTCCCACCTCTTTGAGGGTAGACATCAAAGTCCATTCATGGCCCATAAGCCCTGCAAGATCTGCCCCCTACAAGCCTCCCCATTCTGACCCTGTCCTTTCCTATCTCCTTCCCTCAATCCACTCCAGCTGGGCCTCCTTGTCTGCACCCACCTTGGGGCCTTGGCATTTGCATTTCATACCTGGAAAATTCTGAGTCCTTCCCTTTATTCAGGCCTCAGCTGGGATGCTAACTCCTCAGAAACAGTTCTTGTTTCTTTGATTACCATCTGCCTCCCTAAAATAACATCAGCTCCATGGAGGCAGGCCGTGCCTCTCCTCTTCATTGCAATGTCCCATCTGGAATAGCGATGGTCCTTACTGGCTGCTCAGTATGCATCTGGGGAAGGAAGACAAAGTGCTCATTCTGGCTGCATGCAAAGGTCTGATGAGCTGAAGGGGACATGGTGACAGGCTGGGGGCAATAAGCACGGGCCGGGCGAACCTCAAAGCCTCACCTGCACACAGGTTGGGCCACCACCCTCCTTGTCCTGGGTCCCCAGCTGGGGTCTCCTGCTTAAATTCTCTCACACACCCACATGCACACACAGAGAACACATTCTCACATACAATCACATGTCCAGACATCCATAGTATCACACAATCACATCCATGATCACAGTCACAGTCACTGAAGCAACACACAGTGTAATCATACACAGTCTGGGGCCTTTGTGCTGTATCAGGCCCTCCTGGGCACCTCCATGTCTCTGTCTCAAACACCATCACACAACGTGACGGCCGCATGTGGCTGCAGAATTATCACATACCATAACCAACACAAAGGTCACACCCACCCACACACAGTTACACGCACAGAAATACCCACACGTGTGGTCACAGAGAATGACACGCGCAGCCCAACCTCTAGAGCACCAGGGGTCACACAGGACAGACACGTGGAATCACCTGTGTATGGTCACAGTAAGCAACACACTACACACGATGCACACCCCACACAGTGACACCCTCTCCCCTCACCCCACGCACTATGCACGGTTCCACCTCCCACACAGCCCCCCGCCCGCCCCTTCACTCGCAGCCACCACAACCCCACAAAGGCCCAGCCTTCTACCCACTGCCCTGCAGAGACTACAACCCCCGGCGTGCCCCAGGGGGCGCGGGCTGAGGGCGCGGGGCCTTCGGGTGATTGTAGTCCAGGAGGGCGGGAGGGCGGCGCTGGGGCCGTGGAGCCTAAGACGCGACGCGAGCTCAAAGTTGCGGTCCGCGCGCAGGGGCGCCTGCTGGGCAGCGCGGCGCATCCTGGGAGTTGTGGTCCCGGCGAGCGGGCGCGCAGGCGGCCCTGCCCGTGTGGCGCCTCAGTGCGCGCTCCCGGAAGTGGCGGCCGCCGCGCGTGTGGGGTGGGCCTGGGTGGGGTCTGCGGGGGTCGTGGCCGGAAAGAAACGTCCCAGGCCGGGAAGGCGCCAGCGCTGGCGGCGAACGGAGCCGGGTGTTGCGGGGCCGACCCGCCGACGGGGACTGAGGTGCTGACCGCGAGCGGCGCGCCTGGAGGACCGACTGACGGGCAGTGAGCGGGACCGACGCGCAGACCGAGTGTAGAACTCACCGGTCGCACGTGGGACCGACTGGCCGGCTGTGTGTGTGCCTGAGAGGTTGTGCTTCTGCGTCGGCGCGTGCGGGTGTGCGCTTCCTACCGACAGCGTGGCAGTGGGTGACCGTCGGACGTGGGGTGCGGCTGACGGCGACGGGGGTCGGAGGTTTCGCGGGGGTGTCGTGTGATGTGAGGAGAGCGCGGGGGTGCGGCCGGCCGCGTGACTTCAGGCGGGACGCAGAGCGTCCCTGGCTGAGACGGTGGTCAGGGACTGTGAGTGACTGTGGGGGAATTCCACTGGTGAGTGACACAGAAGTGTGCTCCTGGGTGGCTGACACGGTGCCTGAGGCAGGGTGTGCGCCTGTCACTGCGGGGCTAAGATTTTGTCAGGGTACTGAGATGCGGGTGATTTGCAGAGTTTGCCAAGGATGCGACGGAGAGTTTCGCTTCCGCCTGTCTGCAGCCGGAATTGACCGCGGTCCCCAGCCGGCTTTGTGGATATGTTCCCCAGCACCGGCCGTGGGCCCGAGTCTGGCAGGAGGCTGTGGAGTGTCAGGTTGGTTGTTCACCCCGTGTCTGCAGTGTGCCAGGCCGGTACTGGACGTTTGTCGCGGATCGCCTTGGGTAACCTCACAGCAGCCCTCTGAGGTAGGTGCCACTTACCAGGTCGGTGACTCGCAAGGACAGAGAAATGGGAGAACCGCTCTGCTCAGTTGGTTGAACACTCATGGATCGGGGACCTTGACCTGATGTGAGGTCAGCACGTTGGGAGATGGGTCCACATGTCTCAGATTTTCCAGAACAGGAGTTTCAGGGGTGCAGAAAAGGGAGCTTGGAATCTTGCTGCATTTCTCGTCATCCCTGCCATTCCTGCTCCTCCTCCCCTGTACAGTGACTCCCCACATCTGTGGGTGACCATGCTCAGCCTTTCCTGGTCCCTCCATTTGCTCAGCACCTCTGTATTATGCACTTGACATAGGCCGTGCTCTGGGCACTGTGGGCCCCAGTGTGCTCAGTCTCTCTGGGGCAACATATGGTTCTAGCCAGAGCTGGGAAAAGAGAGACCCAGGGCACTCAGAAGGATACTCAGCTTGCTCTCAAGTGCTCCTACAACTCTTGGAGAAGACGGCAGATAAAGTGCAGTCTGGAGGACCGGGAAAAAGTAGGTGCAAAGAGATTTTAGAGCAAAAGAATAATAGGGGCAAAGGCTGAGAAGATGGGGATCGGGGATAACGGCAAGGGCAAGGGCACAAGAAGCCCAAGCGAGCCTCAGGGTGGAGTTAGGGGCTAGAACACAGTTTTGTGAGAAGTTGCCACCTGCCGCTGAAAAGTTGCAGGATTGGGGTCTTGTTTCACTAACCTTTGCTTCTCCCTGTGCCCAAGACCACGGCTCATGTGCCAACCAACATTTGTTACCTGTCTTTTTGATTTTAGCCATCTTAGCAGGTGTAAAGCGGTATCTCACTGTGGGTTTGATTTGCATTTCTCTGGTAGTCATGATGTCAAGCATGTTTTCATGTTGCCTCCAGGCCATTGGTGTATCTTCTTTGAAGAACTGTCTAGTCAAAACCTTTGCCCACTCTTAATTTTTTTTTAACGTTTATTCATTTTGGGGAGACAGAGCGTGAGTGGGGGAGGGGCAGAGAGACACAGACTCCAAAGCGGGCTGCAGGTTCTGAGCTGTCAGCACAGAGCCGGATGCGGGGCTTGAATCCACAGACCATGAGATCATGACTCGAACTGAAGTCGGATGCGTAACTGACTGAGCCACCCAAGCGCCCCAACCTTTGCCCATTCTTTAGCTGGATTATTTATCTTTTTACCATGGAGTTGTTTAGATACGTATTCCTTATCAGATACCTAATTTGAAAATATTTCGTGCCATTTTGTGGGTTGCCTTTTTGCTTTCTTGATGATGTCCTTCAAATCATGAAACGTTTTAATTTTGATCAAGTTGTTTACTTTATTTTTTATCATTTATCCAGGAAGGCTTTGCATTTTTAAAATTCCAGTATAGTTAACATACAATATTATATTAGTTTCAGCTGTACAACATAGTGATTCAACACTTATATACAGTATAAAATGATCACCATAATAAATCTAGTTACCATCTCTTACCATACAAAGTTAATACAATTTTATTATCTATTTTCCATGTGCTATACATTACATCACTATGACCTATTTATTTTATGACTAGAAGTTTGCACCTCTTAATCCCTTTCACCCATTTCACCCAGTCCCAAATCCCCTTCTCCTCTGGCAACCATCAGTCCGTATTTGTGAATCTAATTTTGATTTGTATGTCCATTTGTTTTGTTTTTTAGATCCACATATAGCTGAAATCATAGGGTATTTATCTTTCTTTTTTTTTTTAATTTTTTTTTCAACATTTTATTTATTTTTGGGACAGAGAGAGACAGAGCATGAACGGGGGAGGGGCAGAGAGAGAGGGAGACACAGAATCCGAAACAGGCTCCAGGCTCTGGGCCATCAGCCCAGAGCCTGACGCGGGGCTCGAACTCACGGACCGCGAGATCGTGACCTGGCTGAAGTCGGACGCTTAACCGACTGCGCCACCCAGGCGCCCCTATCTTTCTCTAATTTATTTCACTTGGCATAATAGCCTCAAGGTCCATCCATGCTGTTTGTTCTTTATTATGGCTGAGTAATATTTTATTGTATGTATAGGTGCCACATCTTCTTTATCCATTCATCTGTTGATGGTCAGTTAGGTTGCTTCCATATCTTGGCTATTGTAAATAATGCTGCAGTGAATATAGGGGTTAATATATCTTTTCAAGTTAGTGTTTTCATTTTCGTTTGGATAAATGCCCAGAAGTGAAATTGCTGGATTGTATGATAGTACTTTTTTTTTTGCATTATTTTTAAGTTTATGTGGATATTTAAGTTTTTGTGGAATGTTGACCAAAGTTAACCATACGCTGGGTCACAAACCAAGTTTCAGCAAATTTCAAAGGATTGAAATTGACTAAAGCACATTTTCTGAGCACAACAAACTTAATCTAGCAATCAATAATAAAAAGACAACTAGACAACCGTAGTTGTTTGGAAATGGAGTAGCAGATTTCTTTTCTTTTTTATTTTTTTTTAATCTTTTAATGTTTATTTTCAAGAGAGACAGAATGTGAGTGGGGGAGGGGCAGAGAGAGAGGGAGACACAGAATCCAAAGCAGACTCCAGGCTCCGGCTGTCAGCATAGAGCCTGATGTGGGGCTTGAACTCACGAACTGTGAGATCATGACCTGAGGTGAAGTTGGACACTCAACCAACTGAGCTGCCCAGGTGCCCCATGAGTAGCAGATTTCCAAATAGCCCAGGAGTCAAGAAGAAACCACAACAGAAATTAGAAAATATTTTGAACTCATTAAATGATAATGAAGATGCAACATTAAACTTATAGATGTGTAGCTAAAGCTGTGTTTAGAGGGAAATTTACAGCCTTAAGTACATGTATTAGAAAAGAGGAGGGGCACCTGGGTGGCTCAGTTGGTTAAGTGTCCAACTCTTGATTTTGGCTCAGGTCATGATCTCACAATGGTGATATCGAGCCCAACATCAGGCCCCGTGCTGAGTGTGGAGCCTGCTTGGGATTCTTTCTCTCCCTCTCTCTCTCTGCCCCTCCGGCACCCACTCTCACTCGCTCTCATGCTCTCTCTCTCTAAGAAATAAATAAGCATTAAAAAAAAAAAAAAAGAGGACCAGATGAACATAAGAGAAGGGAAACAAAAATAATATAAAATCAGGGAGGGGACAAAACAGAAGAGACTCATAAATATGGAGAACAAACTGAGGGTTACTGGAGGGGTTGTGGGAGGGGAGATAGGCTAAATAGGTAAGAGGCACTAAGGAATCTACTCCTGAAACCATTGTTGCACAATATGCTAACTAACTTGGATGTAAATTTTAAAAGATAAAAAATAAAATTTAAAAAAAAAGAGGAAAGAAAGGAAGGCAGAAAGTCATTTATTTTTAAGTATCCATCTCAGAAACCAAAATAATTAGCAAGGGAAAAGTGAAGGAATGACCATGTGGCTACCTAGGGAGTGTGTGAGATAGAGAGATCTGGTTCTGTGTGGGAGGAGCACACCATAAGCAAACTGGCCATGGAGTCAGGCTGCCTGGGTTTGTAGCTCAGCAACTCCCAATCTGTTCAGTATCTGAGAAGCTTTGGGTGAATCTTTTCCTCTTCTATATCTGTTTTCATATCCACAAAATGGAAAGGAAATTCTTACCTCCTGAGTTTGTTTAGAGTTTTAAATGAGTTACTATATGCAAACTTTTAGCATGGTGCTTAGGCATCTGATTATTTTGAACATCTGTGTCTCTGTGAGAGAGTCACTCTTACAGGCCCCAAGCCTGTATCTGCCCTGCTCTACAGATGTGAGCAGAGCCCCAAGTTCCACATAATGACAGAGTTCTGACATTCCTGCAGACCCGGTTCCAACGTTCCAGCCATTCTGTGCCTCACTGGAGTGCTGCTGCTTGATGGCCATCCCCAAGAGCCCTCTGAGCCCCATGCCCTGGGAACAGGATGGTTTCCTACGTGTGAAGGTGGAGGATGAGGAGGCTAGCCTCTCTGAGGTCCAGGAATCTAGCCCTGGCCACACTGTCCACCCTGAGGCTGCACGTCTTCGCTTCCGGCGCTTCTGCTATGAGGAGGCATCCAACCCACATGAGGCCCTGGCCCAGCTCCGTGAACTGTGCCACCAGTGGCTGCAGCCTGAAGCACATTCCAAGGAGCAGATGCTAGAGTTGCTGGTGCTGGAGCAATTCCTGGGTGCACTGCCACCCAAGATCCAGTCATGGGTGGGTGCCCAGTTCCCCAAGAGTGGTGAGGAGGCTGCCATGCTGGTAGAAGGTCTGACTCGGTCACTGGACAAGAGAGGTGAGAAGGAACAACAGGCGACTGTTTGCAGCACACTGTGGGCAGAGCCTGGACTGGAATGTGGGAGTGCAGGGTTTGGGTTTGGGGTCGTTCACACACACACTTGTTGTCATCTTTGTACGTCACCCAAACTCACACACTGTGCTAAGCAGATCTGTTTTGACTGCTAATGTCCAAAAACCGAGCTCAAACTGACTGCAGCAAAGTAGGGAGCTCCTGGCTGTATCCAGGAGCTCAGTGGATGGCGTCAGGACTCTTTTTTTCTCGTTCTGTTTCTCAGTTGGGTTTTCCTACATTAGCTTTACTCTTAAGTAGCTTCTCTCCTCAGTGGAGACATGGTTGGCTCAGCAACCCAGGCTTATGTCTTACCGATGTAGAATCCCCAGGGGGAGAACAGTAAAAGTTTCCTGGGCTGAGTCCCACTTAACTGGTTGGGGTCTTGTGCTTGTTTTTGGCTGACCAGATCTCAGGGACTGACGTGAATAAGGAAAACCAGGCTGTTGGTACCCCCAGATGAGGGGGCTGGAAGCCTATAGCAGGGGAGGGGATGACAAAAATGCCAGGTGTCTCCATGTGTCCCTCTGCTGGCCTCCAGGATCTGTGTCCTCCCTCTACTGGCCTCCAGGATCTGTGTGTGTCAGACCTGCCCTAGGCTAGAGTGGGCACCTTTGCTCTGGAGGACCTACACAGATGTCTCGGCCCAGGGAGGTCCCAGCGGATGCAGTCCAGAGCAGGGAGTGAAGGCTCTTCCTGGAAGGGCCCGGCCTGGCCCTGCCTGATGATAGCAGATAGTGTGTGTATGCCAGGCTCTAGGGAGGAGGCGTGCAGTGAGTAGAAAGAACAGAAATATCATGAAGGCTTGGTAGATCCAACCACAGCTCCTCCTCCTGGCCATGTGACTTTCCTGTGCCTCAGTTTCCCTGTCAATAAAATGGCGATTGCAGTTCATAATACCTACCTCGGTGTCATTGAGAGGTGTAAATGAAGCATCACCTGTGCAGCACATGTAACAGTGTCTGGTACAGATTAAACACAGTGGAAACTGTAGCTGTTAGGATAACTGTTTAGCTCCTCGAGAAACAGACCTTTCTGGAGAGGTTGGTCATGTGCCTTCCCTTGGGCCCATCAGCTCTGCCAGGCAGAGGTCACAGGGACAGGGAGAGGGGATAGTGGCCACATCCTCTTGAAGGGTCAAGAAAGTCTTCAGAGAAAGGGCAGTATGGCACTGAGATAAGGAGAAGGACGTGGAAGTCCAGGCAAAGGGAATGGTGGGGGTGAAGACCCGGTGGTACGAACTGGTACATTCTGGGAAGAGCAGTTGGGCAATGTTGCTGGAATAGAGGAAGAAGAGGGATGTGGGACCAAGCATATGACTGAGGAGGCTGGGTAGTTAGGAGGACATGTGTGGGCCTAGAGGACAAAATCTGAAGTCTAAAAACTCTTTTTTTTTTTTTTTTTTAATTTTTTCAATTTTTATTATTTTTGAGAGAGAGAGAGAGAGAGAGAACACATGAGCAGGGAAGGAGCAGAGAGAGAGAAGGGGAAAGAAGATCCAGAGCTGGCTCTGCGTTGACAGCAGAGAGCCTGATGCGATATGGGGCTAGAACTCACGAACCATGAGATCACGACCTGGGTTGAAGCCGGACTCTTAACCAACTAAGCCACCCAGGCACCCCAGAAGTCTGAAATCTTTACCTGAAATTTCAATTTGACCACCAGCCAACTGTGTGATCTTGTACCAGTTGAGTACTCAAGACCTTCCTTCAGCCGGGTCTCAGTTTCCTTGTCTGAAATGCAGTGTTCCAGTATGTCCTTGTGGGAGCAGACTGAAGGTGAAATGAGGCAATGGAAGTTACCCACTGTGCTTGGAGAGCCTAATGATGACCAGCAGCCCTGGCAGGCGAGCAGTATAGTAGCTCTCTCTTACAGGTCCAGATGAGGGCAGGATTGCCCAACGCTCTGGAGCTGGCTCGTGGCAGGGCTGGGGCTCCACTGTGGACTTGAGCAGCAATTATTCGGCCTGCTCCCATCTCTTCCTGGAATCTGTCCAGTACGTGATGCTATTAAGTGTACTCCGGTGCCTTATGCACCCATCAAGGGTCAGTTCAATTCAAAGGTCAGTTCAGGCTGACCTCATACACAACCCAATCTCCAACTACCTTTCAACCACACTCCACCTTTACAGCAGTTTATAAAGAGTGGGCCTCAGGCCTCCCAGGGTCTTAGGGACACCAGGCGGGCTTGTCACCCACTTACCCTCAGCAGTGGTTGTCAACTTGGGGCTCGAGGTAGATTCTCCTGTGGAAAACTGCACAGTTGCCAGCATCTGGAATTGCTTCCCTCATTCAGCCAGTCTTTACTGTCACCTGCAGAAAATGCTCGGTAGGCTTTTTAGGTCCAGGGCTAAGGCACTGAGAGCTGGGGCCTCCCGAGGGGGAGTAAGTACATAGGCACTTGGCAAGGGCAACCCCCTGTGTGTGCTTACTTACTCTCATTCTTTCAGATCAGTTCAACCTTAGGGTTTTCCTTCTGACACTTGAGCCCAAGTCAGCAGCCTTGAAGAATGGAGAGTTTCAGGGGTGGGGGTGGGGTGGGGGAGGATTGGAACCTGTGATCCAGTTTCTGATGGTGTGGGAACACAGCCCTATGCCCTTTGTCATCCAGGACACCAAATGGGAAACTTTACTTTGGAAATGGGGCCAAATGTCAGGAGTGGCCATTTGTCTCCTTACAGAGTAAGACCACGACCCAGGCAGAATGGGGAAAGCCCTGTGTGGAAATAGTGGTGACACTGTGGTTTGGGTTGTTTCAGGACAGGAACCAGGAGCTGAGCTCTCAGAGTCAAGCTGCAAGCAGAATGATTTGGAAGAGTCCGAGCCACTGGGTAGGGCCACTGAAACCCTCGCAGGAGGTGGTTCCCTGGGACCTGCCTTTGGTGATGCTCGTGAACCTGAGGGCAGCTCAGAGAGGCAGGCAGGACTCTCAGGGGAAATCTGGACAAAGTCTGTCCCCCAAGAGATGGATTGCAGGAAAACTTCAGAGCCTCACAAGGATGTTCCCACAGACCAGACCAGCTGTGAACCTGGTGCCTTGGGGAATAGTCCCAACATGTGGCCAAATTTCATCTCACAAGAGAAGACACCAGAAGAGAAATTTGATCCATTGGATGGTTATGGGACGGAGTCGCCATGTGTATACTCAAGGAAGAAGTCTTCCAAGTGTGGTGAATGTGGGAAAACATTCCAGAGCCCCTCTGCCCTCAAAGCACACCAGAAGAGCCATTTTCGGAAGACACCCTACACCTGTAGTGAGTGTGGGAAAGCCTTTAGCCGGAGCACTCACTTGGCCCAGCACCAAGTCATCCACACGGGGGCAAAGCCCCATGAGTGTAAAGAGTGCGGGAAGGCCTTCAGCCGGGTCACCCACCTAACTCAGCACCAGAGGATCCACACTGGAGAAAAACCCTACAAGTGCAGGGAATGTGGCAAAACCTTCAGCCGCAGCACCCATCTCACCCAGCACCAGCGGGTGCACACAGGGGAGAGGCCCTATGAGTGTGACGAGTGTGGGAAGGCCTTCAGCCAGAGCACCCACCTGACTCAGCACCAGCGCATCCACACCGGAGAGAAGCCCTACAAGTGTGACGGTTGTGGAAGAGCCTTCAGTGACTGCTCAGCTCTGATCCGCCACCTGAGAATCCACTCTGGAGAGAAGCCGTATCAGTGTAAGGTTTGTCCGAAGGCCTTTGCACAGAGCTCCTCCCTCATTGAGCACCAGAGAATCCACACAGGAGAGAAGCCGTACAAGTGCAGCGACTGTGGAAAGGCCTTTAGCCGCAGCTCAGCCCTTATGGTTCACCTGAGGATCCACATCACAGTACTGCAGTAACCCAAGAAAACCCTCGGGACACAGTATCCTCCCCTCAGAGGCTCAACATCTAAGAAAAACCCTGAGTTCCAAAAGAACAAAGAATGGGGTGGGTGATAGTACCCCAAAATGATGAGGTGCTAAAGGGCAGACTCTGGGGCTGTCTGGGAACAACTCTGCATTTGGAGACCCCGATGGAGGGGCCTAATGAACACAAAGCTATTCAGACCATCTGGAGAAGCTTCCAGAAGGATCCTGCTGCCCTCCATACCCCACTCAGGCCCATCTCAGAGAAAGGACAGCTGAGGTGAGGACTTGGATTTGTCTTCAGAGCCAGGGCAAGTGAAGTTTCTTTTGGGACTCAGTGGTCCCAAGATGCTCTGGGCAGGAGGGCTCCAGCTTCATGTTCCCATGTAACTGTTTTTGCCTTTTCCTCCCCTGTTTAGCCCAGGAGGGGTACCGGCCCTCGCCCACCTCCGTGCCTTCACGCCTATTGTTTCACTCCACTATTCACGTCTAACTCTAAGCCCAACCTGTGAGGCTGCCTCTTATGTGAGGCCTTCTCCGGGCCCTCTGTCTGTTTCACAATCTCCCTTAATCGAGGGTGCAGCCTGATGCTTGCCCAGCATCCATTTCTCCCTGCCCTCCCCTTCCACATCCCATCAGTCATCAGCCCTGTTGGTTTTACTGAAAACTCACCTCTAATCATCTTCTCCACCTCCGTCACTTTCTGTGAGCCCTCATCACCTCTCATCTGGAATCCATCTGGGGTCTCTTGCCTTCATTCTCTCCCCCGACCTCTCCCATTGTTTGATTCTCCACACCAGGGGGCTCTTTCTACAACCCAAACCTGATTGTGTCACTCCATGGTGGAAAGCTCTTCAGTGTACCTTCTACGGCAAACCTTCCTGAATGGTTTATAAGTATGCCAAGACATAACTCACTTTCAGCCCCGAACAAGCTCTCCAGGTACCCTCATATGTACATGTGAATATTGTCGTTTTTGTGTGTGTGCAGTGATGTGAAAATGGTTTCAGAGTACTGCCCTGTGGGAATAATGGCAAACTCCTTCACCTGCCATTTATGATCATTTGTGACCTGGCCCCAGCCTTGTCTATCGTAGTCCCCCCACCTTCCACACACCAGTCACGTGGAACTACTTGTGGTTCCTGAAGAAGCCATATTTTTCCCACCTACGTGCCTCTGTAACTGTGCCTGGAAACCTCCTCTTCTCTTTCCTCCCTGGCGTTTCACATAGCCCTCCCTAACAAAGCCTCCCCTACCTCTCTGAGCTGACTTCAACTTGCCTTCTATGCTTCCAGAACACCTCCTTAACTTCTCTTCAACTTCCTGTCATGTTTATTTACTCCTTGCAGAGCTCGCAGTCTGTTTCCCAAAGACACTGAGAGCTTCCAAAAGCAGGGGCTGGGTCTTATTCTCAGTACCCATAGCACAGGACTCAGTAGGCTCTGACCTGTGTCTTCTGAATGAATATACTGTGACCGGTGCCTTCCTGGAGGCAGTCATCATGCTCACCCCTGCGTCGGCCTGATGTATGTCTACACTGTTGTCTCCCCCAACAGCCCTGGGCCCTGCAGGGCAAGAGCAATCTGATTTTCCCAGAGCCCCACCCGTCAGACAAGCCTGGCATACAGTGGCCTTGATAAAATACCATATTGAGTCTGCCCTTTCTGTCACCCCAGAATCCCCCTGGTGTCATGGACTCTGTGGTTGCCAGCATGCTGTCAGTGCGCTGTCTGGCCTCTCACGGTTCTGTATCTCTGACCCTCTTTCAGGGTCCATGTCTGTAACTGAATGTCACAGCCTCTGTTCTTAACTGTCAGGTTGTCAATCTTCCTCTCTTTGATGATCCCGTTGCATGTTAACCATTTGACCTGCCATACAGTTGTGTACTGTACATATCTCCCTGTGTTTCTTCTTGTGTCTTGGACTTGTCCCCTCTGTGTCACAAGTAAAGAGTCACAGAAACCAAGGAGTGAGGTTCAAAACAGGAAGGTTGAGACCCAGGGAAACAGAGATCTTGTGTCAGTATCTCTGAGACAGTCCCAGATATACCTGCCCACAGGCAGACTGCCACACAGTGAAGCCAAGGCTGAGAGACGCAAAGAATGTTAACAGGGAAAAGCTCAGATGAGAGATACACATTGCTGGTGAAACAGTCACACAGGCCTCCAAAAAGCCCGCAGGAACTGGAAAAGATGTAGGCCCAAGTCACACTGCAAGCAGCACTCCTCCTCAGGGCTGCTTTTGGGACCCCGGGTAAGTGACTTCCCTGAACCTCAGTGACCTGCCCATCTGTAAAGCAGGAATAAGATGACCTGCTTTGTGCAGCACCCAACCCATGGCCTGGCCACTGGCTCTGACTTGGAGCATCTGTCTCCACCTCCTGCCCTCACTCTCCTGGTGTTTGGCACTAAAGAGCAGAATCTCCACCTCTGGTGCTCTGAGCATCTCCAGCACCCACTTTGTCATAAGATTTGTGTCTTCCCATGTTTGTCTAAAGGGGGAAGAGGTCAGGGGAAAAAAGGAATCTTTACTGAGCGTCCATCTGTGTTGTTCAGTCTGCCAAATAATTTGTGTGCATCATCTCCCAACACTGAGGGCAGGACCACCATCCCCCACCATAAGGGACATGGGGTTGGAGAACATGAGCGGCCCTGACGTGTACGCTGATAGAGACTGGACACACTGGGATTTGAAAGCACATCCAAATATGTCAGCAGTTTCAATAAGCACTACTTATCAACAAATAAAGTAAGACAAATACTAACATTGTATTTCTTTCAAATCCAAGCATATGTTCTTTAGAAGAAACACACCTAAAACAAGGACATGGGAAAGCTGAGGCTAAAGGAATAGAAAAGGATGTACAAGGCAGGCATGAATCTGAAGAAAGACAAGCTGTCTTAATTTCAGACAAAATAGATGTTGACACAGAAAAGCATTATTAATTTAAGGTCCTAGGATCACTATGTTTTCTTTAAGTTTATTAATCTTTGAGAGAGAGAACACGGGAGGGTCAGAGAGAGTGGGAGACAGAATCCCAAGCAGACTCCACACAATCAGCTCAGAGCCCAATGTGGGGGTCGAACTCCCAAATTGTGAGATCATGATCTGAGCTGAGATCAAGAGTTGAATGCTTAACCGACTGTGACCCAGGCGCCCCAAAAGAAAGAATTTTTGAAGAAATAATGACTGGGAACGTTCCAAATTTATGCCTTTCCAGAAGGTATAAATTTACAGGTTCAGAAGGCACAGTGAACCCAAACAGCATAATCTCAAACCCGTGCCTGGACACATCACAATTGAACTGCTGAAAACTAAAATTAAAAAAATTTTTTTTTAATTTTTTAATGTCTATTTGAGAGAGAGACAGCACGAACGAGCAGAAGAGTAGCAGAGAGAGAGAGAGAGACAGAATCCGAAGCAGGCTCTGAGCTGTCAGCACAGAGCTTGATGTGGGGCTTGAACTCATGAACTGTAAGATCATGACCTGAGCCGAAGTCAGACGCTTAACTGAGTCACCCAGGCACCCCGAAATTTAAATTTTTTGAAAAGAGTCTCTGAAAAACTGCATCATAAAAATGGATGCAAAAGATAATGAGTTTCTTGTCAGAAATCATGAAAGCCAGAAGGCAAAGAAACAGCATTTTTAAAGTGCTGGAAAAAAAAATAAAACTGTCAATCAAAAATTCTATATCCAATGAAAATACACATCAAGGAGAGCAAAATAACATTTTCAAATGAAGCAAAATTAAGACAATGTGTTGCCAGCAGGCTAAAAGTTGTTTTGATGGAAGGGAAGTGATAGCAGAAGGAAAACTGGAATTTTGGTAACGAAGAGTAACACACTGAAAATATTTGATCTTTTTTTTTTTTTTAATTTTTAATGTTTATTTTTGAGAGAGACAGAGCGTGAGCAGGGGAGGGGCAGAGAGAGGGAGGGAGACAGAATCTGAAGCAGGCTCCAGGCTCTGAGCTGTCAACACAGAGCCGGGCGCAGGACTCGAACTTCCAAACCATGAGATCATGACCTGAGCCAAAGTCAGATGCTTAATTGACTGAGGCACCCCGGAGTCCCAATTTGATCTTTAAAATACACATAACTGTGGGGGTGCCTGAGTGGCTCAGTCAGTTAAGCATCCAACTCGATTTCAGCTCAGGTCATGATCTCACGGTTCCTGAGATCAAACCCCGAGTAAGGCTCTGCACTGATGGCATGGAGCCTGCTTGAGATTCTCTCTCTCTCCTCTCCCCCTCCCCTACTCTAAATAAATAAATAAACAAATGAACAAACATACACTTAAAAATATTTTTAAAGACACACATGACTGTTGAAAACAAAATTTATAACATTGTCTAGTAGAGTTCAATGTATATTGATGTAGTATATATGACTACAACATACGGAGAGGAGAGTATCAAAATTCACTCAGTGATACATTTGAGACTTGTATATTTTAAATTTTTTTTTCAACGTTTATTTATTTTTGGGACAGAGAGAGACAGAGCATGAATGGGGGAGGGGCAGAGAGAGAGGGAGACACAGAATCGGAAACAGGCTCCAGGCTCTGAGCCATCAGCCCAGAGCCTGACGCGGGGCTCGAACTCACGGACCGCGAGATCGTGACCTGGCTGAAGTTGGACGCTGAACCGACTGCGCCACCCAGGCGCCCCGAGACTTGTATATTTTAATGCATAAACTTATATGTCAAGAACCACTAGTGTACTTTTTTTTTTTTTTAATTTAAAGGTGAGGGTAAAGAGACTGATATAGTGATAAGGTTTCTACATTTCACTGTAAGTGGTAAGTATTAATTCTATATAGACTGTGAAGACTGGAGTATGCATATTGTAATCCCTGAGAGATCACACACACACACAACTATACAAAAAGATAAAAGATAAACACAATATATGAGTTAAAATGGAGCTCTAGAAAATATTTAACCCAAAAGAAGGCAGGAAAAGGGAAACAGAGGGATAACAGAAAGAACAAAGAGGAAAAAAAAAGGTAGACCCAAATCCAAACATATCAATAATTATATTACATGTAAATGATCTAAACATACCAATTAAAAGTTCCCAGAAATTTTGTTTTCAAAACAAACCCACTTTAGGTAAGTTTAAAAGGGTGGAGGGTTGGGGGCGCCTAGGTGGCACAGTCAGTTGAGCATATGACTCTTGATCTCGGCTCAGGTCATGATCTTGAGGTTCCTGGGTTCGAGCCCCACATCAGGCTCTGCGCTGATGTTGCAGAGCCTGCTTGGGATTCTGTCTCTACTTCTCTCTGACCCTCTCCCGCTTATGCTCTCTCTCTCTCTGTTTCTCAAAATAAATAAACTTAAAAAAATTTTTTTTAATAAAAAAAAGGCTGGAGGGTGAAGGGGAATGAGAGAGACAGTCTTAGGGTTATGGAATGAATAACTCACAGGAATAAAAGGCACAACATAGGGGCGCCTGGGTGGCGCAGTCGGTTGAGCGTCCGACTTCAGCCAGGTCACGATCTCGCGGTCCGTGAGTTCGAGCCCCGCGTCAGGCTCTGGGCTGATGGCTCGGAGCCTGGAGCCTGTTTCCGATTCTGTGTCTCCCTCTCTCTCTGCCCCTCCCCCGTTCATGCTCTGTCTCTCTCTGTCCCAAAAATAAATAAACGTTGAAAAAAAAATTTTTAAATAAAAGGCACAACATAAGGAATATAGTCAATGACATTAGAATAGTATTGTGTGGTGATAGATGACAGCTACACTTGTGGTGAGCATAGCATAATGTATAAAGTTGTCAAACCACTATGTTTTACACCTGAAACTAATGTAACATTGTGTGTCAACTATACTCAAAAAAATTAATTGGAAAACACAGAAGGCTGGAGAAAGATATATAATACAAAAACTAACCAAAGAATGTTAGAGTGACCATATTAAAATCATGCCAAATAGACTTCAAAACAAGGAAAATTACCAGGCATAAAGAGGGACATTACATAATGATATAGGGTCAATTCACCAAGAAGACCTAATAATTCCAAATATGTATGCAATATGTATGTGTTTTAGGGCAACAAAGTCATAAAATACAGGAAGCAAAAACTGATAGAACTGAAAGAAAATAATAAATCCATAATTATAGTTGGAAACTTCACACGTCTTTCTAGAATCAATGGAACAAGCAGACAGAAAATCAGGAATTGAAAAGAGGAATTGAACACCACCAACCAACTGGATGTAATTGATGAAGTTGCCAATATTTAAATATTGCCAATTTTTTTTTTTAGATATATGTTTATTTTTGAGAGAGAATTAGCACAGGGGAGGAGCACAGAGAGAGGGGGAGAGATGATCCAAAGCAGGCTCTGTGCTGATAGCAGAAAGCCCGGTGTGGGACTCGAGCTCCCAAACTGTGAAATCATGACCTGAGCCGAAGTCAGCCACTTAACTGACTGAGCCACCCAGGTGCCCCTATTGCCAATTATTTTATGCACAAAGTAGTTTCCTATTATTTAAACTGTTTTTAAGCCCAATAATAAGCTGTTACTGTTGCTTACCCCCAAGAAATCAATGATCTATGTTTCCATTTGAAGGAAGTGAAAAAGAACAAATTTAATTCAGAAGTAGGTAGAAGGAGGGATGCCTGGGTGGCTCAGTAGGTTGAGCATCCAACCACTTTGGATCCTCTGTCCCCACCCCACCCCACCCCCGCCCCTCTCCTTCATGCTCTCGCTCCCTTTCAAAAATAAACATTAAAAAAGAAAAAGAAGAAGTAAATAGAAATAAGGGAATGATAATGATACAAGTAGAGATCCCCAAAGCATAAAAGAAGCCATAAAAAAAAATGAACAAGTCCAAAAACTAATTAGTTCTTTGAAAAGATTAATACACTCGATAACCCCCTAGCTAGAGTGACGAGGGAGAAAAGGCGGGGTGCGGGGGGACAATATCAGGCATGAAAGAGGTCACATCACTACAGACCCTGCAGGCATTAAAAGAATCCATGAATATTGTGAACAACTCTGTACCAGTAAATCAGACCACATAGATGAGATAGGCAAATTACTTTAACACAATTTATCAAGTATTAGTTGATAATGTTAATACACACCTACTGGTATGCCAGGACCTTGAGGCCAAGCTCTAGAGAGGGGCTGGGCAATAAAATGGTCCAGGGGTGTATTGGGCCCAGTCCCACCCCTCCAACAGTTTCAAGCTCTAATGCGAGGGACCTAGCCCGTGGCTGGGGACAGAGTCCGGCACCACCACCTGGTGGCCACTCAGCGCAGAAGACAAAACTACTAAACGCAATCTCTAGCAGCTTTCCAGTGTGGGGACCATTCTGTCAAGGTGGGGTTGAGTATATCTGGAGCCTCAAGCTACCTACCCAGACCTGCTGGGGACAGGCAGAAGTGCCTGGGAAGTAGGAAGCACCTTGATGGAAGAAAGCAAAAAGTGATCTTGAAAAATATGGACCCAGTGGCCAATCTTTGGCTCCTTTATCCTCAGGATCCAACCCAGAGCCCTTTCACCTTTAGGACACAAGATCCCAGCCCATTTCCCTCAGCCCTGGAAGTCCAGCCCCCTGTACCAGGACTACATTAGCCAAGGACACCTGTTAAAGTCTCTCTTCGCATTTATTGATTCCCAGGAGGAATGAGGGACAGTCCTCCAGCACCCCCGGGGTGAGTCCAGCCTCCAGCTGCAGCATGAGGGATCAGTGCCAGAGGGAGAAAATACTCGCCAAGAATACCATTAACATCCTGAGTCTGCAGCTGCATCAACTTCCTAGACAAATTTGACAAAAGAGAAATGGTAGGGGAGGGAAGCGTCATGTGTCCTCCTCCCCAGTGAAATCAGGGCCGACTTCACTGAGGCCTCGCAGGAAGGAAGTAGCTAGGTCAACCGCCAGCCAAGACCTCTCCCACACCTAGGCCTCCCTCCAGGTGCTCAAGCTGACCAAACCACTCTGCTTCGGGGCCTTCACTTGTGTTGTTACCCTGCCTGGAACCTCCCTCACAACCAGAGCAGAGAAGGGACACTAACTAATGTCCTCGGAGAAGGTGAAGGGAAGGGACAGTCTTGACGCAGGGCACATTCTGGGCAAAGGCCAACAGGAGGAAGCCAGCTCACAGAACCCACAGAACCAGAGGAAAACTTCACCTGCCACCTGGAGCTCCACCGGCTCGCTGAACTCCGACACCAAGACTTTGGGCCACGACCTGCGGTACCGGCAGCTGTAGTTGCCCACGTGCTGCGGCCCCACGTAGGTCAGCACAAGGTCCGCTGAGCGGTGGGCGGTCTGGGTCTGGGTCGAAGCCTCCTTTTCACCTGCCCGCAGCAGCTCGAACGTGACGTCCGGCACCTGGCCTTCGCAGCGCAGGACGGCGTCGCGGCCCGGAGTCACCGCCCCGCGCCACAGGGGCCGGAGCTGGGGCCTGGGAGGGGGCCCTGGAGCAGCAGCCGGGTCAGTCAGGTGAGGCCCGCCCCTCAGGCAGCACCCCACCCCTCCCAGCATTCCTGCCCACGCTACACCCGGGCCTCCAGGCTGCCGCCCTGCTCTCACACACCTGTCTCCCCTCTCCCAGCCCAGAGCACACGCGGCTCCTCCTACTGTCTGCCGCGTCCCCCCTTCCCCAGCACTTTGCAAGTTCCCTACTCGGGCCCGATCTGGGGCTTCCCGGGGTCCCCCAGCATTTGGCGCTCAGGACCTCAGGACAGGGGAGGAGGAAGAACGGGCCCAGGGAGAAGAGGGCCGCGAGCCCCGGAAACGAGGCAGAGGCGAGGCGGCCGGGGCCCCTCCGCCGCCGGAGTTCCGGCAGGACGGGGCAGGACGGGGCCCCGGAGCGCTTCCCCGCCGAGCCCAGCTCTGCCCCCGGGCCCGGGCCGCTCACCCTCCACGCGCAGCTCCAAGGGCGCGCTGGGCGCCGAGCCCGCGAAGGGGGGCTCAGTGTCCACGTAGACGCAGCTGTAGTTGGCCGAGTCCGCGGCCGAGACGTCGCGCAGCTCGAAGTGGGCCTCGGTGCCCGCGGGGCTCAGGACTCGGTGCACCCGGCGCTGGCCGGCGTCCTCGCGCACCAGGGCGAAGCGCAGGCCGGGCCGGGGCGCGCGGCACCGCAGCTGCAGGGACGCGCCGGGCGCCGGCCGCGGAGTCGCGGGTTCGGCCGAGAGCTCCGGCGCGGGGAGCGTCTCTGAGGGGAGGACACGGGCTGACCCGGGCGCCGAGGGGACGTGTCGGGCCTCTCGCCTGCAGGAGGGGGCCCGGCGCCTCCGCTCGCTCCCGGGAGGCCCGCAGGCGCCACCCTCCGCTTACACCGCATCGCCCTCCAGACCTCCCCGGGACTCTCGCGCGCACTCCTACACTGTTCCTCACTCATTTACTGTCCATAAAAATAGACGTGGGCAAGGGGAGCCCAGGGCGCTGGGTCGGAGGAGCACGCGTGCTCCCCCGCAGGCCTGAACCCTCTCTCGGGGTCGACGCTCTGGGTCCGGGTCCTCCGCAGGCCCTGCGGCCCCCGCCTGGCGGCCTTCAACAAACAGGCCTCCGGAGCCCCGTCCCCCTCCCCCCTGGAGCTGGGAGGCAGGAGGGGACCCCGGGCAGGCGGCGCCTGCGTGACCTGTGCCGGACTTGCGTGTTGACCCAGCTATTCTTCGTGGGGCCCTGGGGTAGCCGAGCTCATTGTCCCATTCTCAGTTGGCGAAACTGAGGCTGGGCGGATTGGGCCCTCCAGTACCGGGGGACCCTTCCCCGGGTCTCTCCTCCCGCTCCCCGTCCCCGGAGAGGGGCGCTGTCGCCCTCCCAGCCTCAGGTGCACGGTTCAGCCCGCGGCCGCCAGGCTTACCGTCGCTCAGCAGCAGCTCGGCGGGCGCACTGTCCAAGGACCAGGTTTGCTGGCCACGCAGCTGATAGCGGCAGGTGTAGAGACCGCCGTCGCCCAGAGCCACCGCGTTCAGGTGAAAGAAGACGCGGTCTGGGCTGGTGGAGCTCATGGGTACTTGCAGCACCTCCTCGCCCCGCCTCAGCTGGAAGTGCACGCCGCTTAGGGGCGCCACGCAGACCAAGGTCGTGCGGGCACCCGGGTGCAGGACGGCGGCTGCAGACGCTCCCTGGAGACTCAGCGTGGGCGGCAACGGTGCGCCTGCAAGGCGGCGAGGTCGCTGGGGCAGCGTCAGCTGGGACCTCGAACCGCTGCCCTGCCGGTGGCCGCCCCGACACCACTCTTCCTTGGGGCCCGTCCCCAGGCCCTGCGCCGCCCGGCAGTGTCAGTGTTCGGCCCGGGGATGATCCACCCAACCTTAGGCCCACTGTTTCCCAGACCCAGTCCTAGGCAAGGGTATGCAGGGTTAGGGGTCAAGATAAACAAAGCTCTGTCCTCCAGGAGACTCCTACCCCAGGAAGCCCTCTGGGATGGTCCACACACTCACCCAGCTCTTCAACTGTCACAGTAGCACTGGGCTCAGAGGGTGCACCTGCTGCATGGGTGCGGTAGCTGCAGCTGTAGTTGCCAGGCCGACGGACTGGGAAGGTGGCCTCCACGCCTGTAGGGGCCTCAAACACCTCCAAAAACTGGTCATCGCCTTCCAGCCTCAGCAGGAAGGTGACACCCCGAAATCCCCCACGGCACAGCAGTTTTGTCTCCAGGCCAGGTGTGATCCAGGACACGGGCTCCGTTGAGAGCACAGGCGGGGGCAGGGTCTCTGCAGGTGGAGCAGGGTCAACGGGTGGTTCTGCATGACTTGGGAGACATGGGTGGCCCAGCCAGACCCAGCCCTCCACACTCATGTGAGTGGAGCCGGGGAAATGGAAGGCATTGATGGAGGAAAGAGAGGCAGCGACAGGAGGAGACAGGGGTATGAAACAAGAAATAGGTTACAGGAAATGTGCCAGGCTTGTCCCAAGTGCTTTCTGAGGACTCATTTATTCCTCACAACCTTCTGTGGTCAGTATGAACATCATCCTCATTTTACAGATGAGGAAACAGGGTCAGAGGTGTCAGATGACTTGCCAACCCTCCCCCCCTGCCAGAAAAGTGGGACCAGGAGAGTGAGGAGTGGAGGGATAAGGCCTCTCTAGCAGCCTTCTCCCCATTGCCTCATGGCCCCATAAAAGCCTCCGCTCACCTGCCCCAGTCACCTCCAGGAGATTGCTCAGCTGGGTCCATCCGCTGCTCAAGCCAGAGCGGCAGCGGTACAGGCCCTGGGTGTCACTTGTCACTGGTCCTAGGGGGAACTGGTACTCCATAGCAGGTAAACCAAGGTGCACAAGTTCCTGGGTTACCCCATCCTTGAACAGCTCAAAATCCATGGTCTCCAGACAGGCATGGCAAGTCAGTGTCACATTGGCCCAGGGTTCCAGCAGCGATTCAACCTCTGCCCACAGGTCTGGCTGGGTCTGGAATGCTGCACAGTGGATTGGGGTGAGTGCTGGGTCCCAGGACAGAGGCTCACCTCTGCCTGTGCCCACCATCCCCAGGACCCGACCCAGACTCACCTACTGCCGCCTCCGTCGTCGCTGGGCTCAGCAAGAGACCTGCAGAGACAGAAACTGTGAGGCCCCTATTCCTATCGCTCCTGCTCCCTCCCGCCCCAAGGGACCCTGGCCCCAGCAACCTCACCCCAGAGCATGAGGAAGGCCCAGAGAGTGGACATGATGGCCAGCCTTGCTCCAGCCAGTGAGTGCCTGGGGTGATAAAGCCCAAGCAAGGGGGCGGTGGCAGCAAGGGGCACTGACCCTATTGTTTGTCCTCCCCAGAGGAGTGGGGTGGGGGGCCTGCATGGGGTGGAGACAAAGGACAAAAGTCCAGAGCCTTGGGAGCCTCATCAATAAGGATAGTCAATAATTATACATAATTAATAAACTAATAAATAATAAAAGTGGTAATTAAATATATATAATAAAAAACATATAATTAAAAAAAACCCTCCCTGGGTTCCATAAGATTAAAGTCATATGGCCTGGGCCTCGCACATATGAAAAACATTAGATAAAGTCTGTAATTTTCTGGAATGTCCTCCATCATGACAATTTGTAGCTGTTTATGTAAAAGACATAAAAATGTGCACCAATGTTCCTTCCTGGAGCACGCTCTTCTTTGTGAAGACTATGTACCCTGGGCACCAACTTGGGCTGCATAAAATTCTTTTCCTTTCTCTTGAAAAAAAATTTTAGGGGGTGCCTGGGTGGCTCGGTCAGTTAAGCATCCAACTTCTGCTTGGGTCATGATCTCTGGGCAGAGGGCTCAGAGCCTGGAGCCTGCTTTGGATTGTGTCTCCCTCTGTCTCTGCTCCTCCACTGCTCACATTCTATGTGTCTCTCTCTCAGAAATAAAATAAACATTAAATTTTTTTTTAATTTGTTCATTTTGCATCAACCTAACAAAAAAATGTAAATGAATAAATAAATAAAATGAAAAATAAATAATAGAATGGAATAATAAAATTACTAATAATTAAAATGATTAAGGTGAAAATAATGAAATGATTTATAATAAAACAATACGTGATAAAAACTAAATAATAAAAACTGAGGTACCTATTGTTGTTCTCAGTGTTCTGCGTGCTCAGACTTAGGCAGTATTGGGATAACTATCACTCCTGTGTTCGATGTGAAGGAAAGGAGGCCAGGCAGGGTCCTGTCCTCCCGCTGACTTCCTGTCTGCACAGTCTCTCATCTCTGAACAGCTGAGGAGTACAGGGATCCTTTTCTCTGCAGGGACGCTGAGCTCTGCCCTTCAGGGCCCAGCCTAGCCCCCTCCCCATCATATTCCACCCCAGGTGTGAGGGTGAGGGTCCACATGGGGTTTGCCTGTCTCTGGGTGGTTGTTGTGGTTTTTTTTTGGAGAGAGAGAGATGGCACAAGTGAGGGGCAGAGAGAGAGAGACAGAGACAGAGAGAGAGAGAGAGAAGCTGGGCTCACCTGAAGCGGGGCCTGCGTTTACTCGAAGTGGGCTCAAGCTCACCAGAGGCTGGGTTCGAACTCAAGAACTGTGAGATCATGACCTGAGGCGAAGTCAGATGCTTAACCAACTGAGTCACCAAGGTGCCCCTGTGTCTGGATATTCTACAATGGAGGTTATGTGGTCTTCCTGGAGGTGCGTCCTGGCTCTTTCCAGGAGCTGTTAGTTGGTTCTCCTTTGTTGATTAATTCTGTGCTGTGTGATCCACCATGGATTTGGAGTCCGATCTGCAACAAGGACCTTGGGTTCAGATCGGTGCTTCTGCCCACCTCTCAACTCCAAACCTGTGCTCGGGCTGTGGACAGTTGTCCGAGCTGCCTGTGGTCACTTGTGTCGCTGTAGCCCACTGTCCAGAGGCCAGGCCTCCCCCTCTTTCTGTGGCCTCCCCTTCTCCCTATCTCCTCATGACCTCCCCTTCTCCCTAGGCACAGCCTGATGGGATAGAATGGGAGGAGTAAGAACATGGTGTTCTCACACTGGACCTCTGAGGAAGTCCTGCTATCCCTGGAGACCTAGTCTGCACCCTGGGTGTCCAGCCCCAGCTCTCCCCCTAGGTTGAGGGCCCACGGAAGCCTCCTAAGTCTCACATCACACCTGACCTGGCTTCCTCTGCCCTTGTTCATTCCATAAGCATTTATTGAGCATCTCCTGTGTTCCAGACACAAAAAAGACAGTGGGAAAACATCGACCCACACTCTGCCTGCATGGAGCCCAGCTGGTCAGGGAGATGGAGAATGCAGAGGGTGGGTGCTGGGAAGAACATAAACCCTGAGGATGTGGTGGAATATGGGGTGCAGAGGAGCCACGTGACATTGGAAGGTCAGGGAAGGCTTCCTGGGGAGCAGAGATCTGAACAAGGCCAGCAGGTTGAGTCCTGCAGGTAACTCCTGGGGGAGGAGTATTCTGGGCAGGGGGAACAGCCAGTGTAAAGGCTGTGAGGCAGGATGAGCCATGAGGAGGCTGGGTGGTAGCGGTGGATAGGCAAAGGGCAGAGGGCTGGTGGGAGAGCTCAGAGCCCTTATGGAGACCAGCCATGCTGGGCTGTGGGAAAGAAGTTTAAAAATTCTCTATGCCTATACCAAGGGGTTAACAAAGCATAGGGCTTCCTCAGGGCGAAAGCACCCAAGGCTAGTCACTAAGTAGAACAAAGCATAGAGCTGAAAGCCACCCCTCCCCCCCAACAGGACAAAAGTGTTCCAAATGTCTGAGAACAGCTAATGATAATACAGGTCTTAAGGGAATCTTGAGGAACTTATTATTCTCAGGATAGCATGCTCCATTTATCTTAGTCCTTAGAAAAGTTAGATAAACAGATGCGGTGCCTGCAGCAAATGGCCATCTGCTTGGTGCTGGGATATTGACTTGTCTTTACCCTAACCTCTAATGCCTCATACCTTCGAAACCCTTTTCCTCTCATATGAGTTAACGATTACTGTTTTGTTTCTTTCTCCACATCTGCCACATATGTAAGCCCTCTGATCCTAATAAATATGGAGAAGGGACCTTTACTTAGGGCTCTTGTCTCCTCATAGACACTAGTCTCTCTCGTATTCATTTCTGCATCCCCTCTCTTGCTGGACAAGGGAGAACTCCAGACTCATAGTCTGCGACACTGGGCCTGATGGGCAATGCAGGGTCTTTGGCTTCTGCTGAGTAGGAGGGGGAGCAGGGAGACTCTCCATGTCTGGTTTCCCTTCCACATTTGCTGAGCATCCCCTGAACGCTCACTGCCCTGGCTCCAAGCCCAGGCTTAGAAGGCTGCATGTTGCAGCTGGAGCAGGTGGGGGAGGCATTCCATGCAGAGGGGCCAAGGGTCATTCCACTGAGAGCCAAGGCCAATAGGTGTTACCAGGCCTCTGGCACCCAGACGAGGGCCTGTGACCAGGTAGAGCAGCAGAGCAGAAACCACCAAACACTGCCTTCAGTCCATTTGCCACAGGGCTGCGCAAAGGCAGGCAGGAGCATGATCAGGTCAAGGGTCTGTAGAGATGAAGCTGGCAGCCTGCGACAGGGGATCCTGCGAATTTCTTCTGTCGGTCCTAATACCACTTTGCTACACCTGCCTAGGAGGTCTCCATTCTCTCCAACCACCTCTTAGTGTCCCCCTAGACCTCCAACTCAAGTCTAGCATGCTCTAGGTGGACAAGTGTAAAATCTGATGCCGCTTATACTTTAAAAGAATTGCAACGCTTTGCTCATGTAATTGGCATAAACCTGGGTAATAAACACGGGAACAGCATCTAAGAGTATCTGACCAAGGAGGATGGGATACAACACTGGACCAGATCAAATTTACCTATACGGGCCAATTTGCAAAGACTGGATTTAAGGTGTTAGACTGAGTAGCTTGAGGGAGATTTTATTTGGTAGGTTGACTGAGACCTGGACTCACAGTGCCCTAAATTCAGTGAGGTTCAATAGCCAGAACTCCCCTGGTATAATATAAAGGAAGGAATCCAAAGGCTTGGGGGTATAGGAATGTGGAAATAGGTTCATCGTGTGCAATATGGTATATGCACGCACACACACACGCACACACACACGCACACACACACACACTCAGAGTAAAGAGGAGGACACCCTTGTTTTAAGACATTGAGAAACAGATTACTTAGGAGGGTACCTGCATCCCTGAAAAGTGGCAGTGCCCTCTAGGCTACTACGGCATTGGGAGATGCTGCCGTCAGGTCTGATTTCAACGGAGATGAAAGACCAGCTTAACAGAGCTCAAGTGACAGGGCCCACCAGAGATGTGCACAGTACCCATCACTGGCAGCAGTGATGAGGCGGTAATCAGGATGTTTTAACCCCCAGAGGGGTTGCTTCTGCAGGGAAAGGTTTAGGATGACTTCAGGGGCTTAAAGAGTCTCACCTTCGTGAATATTGACCTTGCAAGTGCTTTTTCTCTACTAGGACACAAGGACCACCAGACTTACCTCATTTTCGCGGGACAACAGCACACCTTCACGGCTTGCCTCAGGGCTGTTCACTCAACTTTCTTATTGTCTGTCACAATCTCTGTCGAGATCTTGATCAACCCAACTTCCCACAGAACATCACACCCACACGCCATTGCCACTATATGGATGACACTGGCTGACTGGACCTAATAAACATGAAACAGCAGATCAATTAGACCAATAAGTGAATTAAATGCACGCCAGGGTCTCACCTCCTCTGGCAAGTGCCTAGGGATCTGGAGCATGTTAGGATAGCTCCTTCTAAGGAACGGGCAACTGACGTCAGTTGCTGCAACGTACACCGACCGCCACTAAAAATGAGGAATAAGGGAGGCCTCTGAATTTGGACACAACGTATACACCTCACTGTGCTGCCCCAATCTGTTTGCAACTGCAGTTTTGTGTGGGGCCCCTGCGGCAGGTCCCGGATACGAAGCAGGCTGCTCTGCCACTTGGGCCCTATTACCCAGAAGATCCAATGGTGCCAATGGACAGTTTCGACGTGTCAGGCAAATAAGGATGCTATGTCGAGCCTCTGGCAGCCCAAACAGAATACAATGCTGGTTTCAAAGAGGTCTCTCCTGCACACCCTCAAAGTTCCAGCAATAACTATGCTCCAGCCTTCTCAGAGACGCGCCGCCCGCCCCCCCCCCCCCCCGCCTCCACCCAGCCCCAGGCCGCCAGGAGCCCATCCCTTCTCTTTTGCACCACCAGCCCTAGAGGTAGTAGCTGCTCTACAGTTATGAATCTCTGGGTTCTTTCAGCCTCACAGAGCTAAATAAACAATTCCCTCAAGATACCTAGGGAGGGTGCTTTCTTTGCCTGCCTCCTCCCCGAGACAGCCCTCTCTGCCCCACATCTCACCCATCACACGGGCCAGATGCACATCCCCACCCTGTTGCAGCGAGATATTAGTGGGCAGGCGGGAGTTCCCTGCGCCAGCTCTCTCCCATCGCTCGGGGCTGGCATGAAGCCTCCCAACTCGGCAATCAGGTTGCAGGTGGAGGAGTCCCTGCAAAGCGCCGGACATGGCACCGTGGTGCTCAGCAGCCCTTGTGACTAGATGCTGCTACTCTGGCAGACGGCCAAGGAGGATCCTCGTCAGCTGGGAGTCCTCAGGCCAGTCTGGGTCCTCCCTGGGGCTCCACTCTGGAGACATGAGAAGGAATTTTCCAAACTAGGAAGGTAGCGCCACACACTCCCTCTCCCTGCTTCTCTCATGAGCCTATGTTGGAGTCTGCTATCCCAGCCAAGGAGACCCAGGAGCAGGAGGAAGTACAGCACATCCAGGGGCAGCCAAGGTCAGAAAGAGGCGTCCAAAATGGTGGTGGAGGTGGCAAGACTGACAAGCACGGACTCCAGGGGAGACCCCAGTGCACACAGCCGTTCAGATCAGGGTGATTCTGGCATGGGGAGACGAGGTGGTGGTAGCTAGGCCAGAGAAGGGTGTTAGTCGTGGCTGGAAACAGTGAACGCCCCCCCCGTGCTTTGTGGGTGGTCTGCTCTGACCCCCCCCTCCACCCCACCCCACCAGTCTCCCACTGAGCCCAACTGCTCTGCCCTAGCACCCCACAGTGACCAGGCTGGCTTCTTCTTGCATTTCCTTTCCCTTCCCTTCCCTGCGGCCTTCCTGCTCACCACCACTCCACCCCTCCCCCAGCTGGTTTTCCCTCGCTCTAGCTTCCAGAATCTGGTCAGTTGTGCCAGGAAATGGGTCTGAGACCTGCTCACTCAATGAAGGCAGGGCGTGGGGGCTGTGCCACCACCCCCGGGTGTGTGGGCCTGATACTGGGTCCATAACCAGCCAGAAGTGTTTCAGGCTGCTCAGGTTTATCTTTTTTAAATTTTTTTTTCTTTTTTTTCAACGTTTTTATTTACTTTTGGGACAGACAGAGACAGAGCATGAACAGGGGAGGGGCAGAGAGAGAGGGAGACACAGAATCGGAAACAGGCTCCAGGCTCTGAGCCATCAGCCCAGAGCCCGACGCGGGGCTCGAACTCACGGACCGCGAGATCGTGACCTGGCTGAAGTCGGAGGCTTAACCAACCGACTGCGCCACCCAGGCGCCCCCAGGTTTATCTTTTTAAACTGGACTCCCAGCTTTAACCATGGAGAGAACGGGAGCAAGGGGTAGGGGTGGGAGGGAAGCAGCTGAGAGCGGACGGCGGCAGGACCACCCCCACTCTTCCCCTTAGGTCTCCTGATGCTCACCAGGGGCCCCAGAGCAAGGCCTCTGACCTTCTGGCCCCCGGCCCTTGGGCCCTCGGCTTAAGAGAAAAAATTCCGTGCAACCTCGGATCCAGCTGAGGGGAGGGGAGGCAGGGAAGGGGGCTCGTCTAACCCTTGCTCCTGGGCAGCCAACTGGGCCCTGGGTCTCAGTCCCACAGGGTTCTGAGACAAGACCACCATGCCTGTGGGAGCCTCCGATTCTCACCGGCCTCTACACAGATACACCCCTCCCGGCATCAAAATCCACCGCCTGCACCTGGTGAATTACCTCCCCGCCACCTGTGTGCAGCCAGGCCCCAGGGGTCACCAGTGAAACTGCCATTGTCATCGCAGGGGCTGTTTCAACGGCCTGACACTCTGCCTGCATCGTCGCCATCCCTGTGCTGCAGCACACCAAGCCCACGACGGTGGGGCACGCGGATGGCGATTTTACACACACTGTCCACGGATGGCAGCATCAGGTGCCTCGCGCCCGGCCGAGTTGACTCAGACTCACAATCTGGCAGGGGCATCCCAGAGTCAGGGTGTGGAGCCACCCGCGTGCCACTCCCCGTGCTCGTTGAGGTTGCAGCGGTGGCCGCAGGACCTGCTGCACACATGGCACGTGTAAGGCCGCTCACCTGTCTGCCTGCACCTGTGCTCGGCCAGGCTGGAGCCCACGACGAAGGCCTGGCTGCACTGGGTGCACTCAAAGGGCCTCTTGCCATTGTGTGCGCTGGTGTTGCCACAGGCCGGCCACGTGCAGGAAGGCCTTGACCCAGTCGGGACAGGCGTGTAGCTGCGCGACCCCATGTATCTTCAGGGGCTCGGCCAGGTCGAAGTTCTGGCTGAAGGCCTTGCCCCAGGCTGGGCAGGTGTGGGGCCGCGCGCCTGTGTGCATACTGGTGCTCCAGGAAGTTGGAGTTCCAGTTGAAGGCTCTGTGGCAGACCGGGCATTCACAGGGCTTCCCGCCCGTGTGCACTCGCTGGTGCTGCAGCAGGTAGGAACTCTAGTTGAACGTCTTGTTGCACTTACTGCACTGGCAGGCAGGCTCCCTGTGGAGAGGCAAGGGGACGGGCACCAGGCCCTCTTGGATGCTTCTGGGCCTGCCCCAGTCCCTCCTACAGTCTGCAGGCTCCAGCTTCCCTCTGGGGGCCCCCTGGTCCTTTGCCTCCACCGGAGCTTCTCTGGGGTCTTCCCAGGCCCCCAGGCCTCCAGATGCAGCCCCCTCAGAGTGGCCTGGAGGGTCAGTCTTCAGCACAATCCAGGGAATGTCACCTTTTCCTGGAGCCACCTGCTGGGCCACTGTGCTGGCGACTCCACCTTGCCTCAGTAGTCTGAAACAGGAGGAAGAGAAAGCAAATGCCTAAGAGCCCAAAGCACCCTGGGGAATGGGGCAGAGGGGCCTAGCAGATCTCAGGAACGATGTGATTGTGACAGATCTAGAGTGGGGGCAAAGCTTGGGGCTGGCTGGATCCAGCATGGCCATCACCCCCACCTTTCTTGAGCTGGTGCCCCTGGCCCCTCTTCAGCCTGGAACAGGAAAACAGGGGCCGTAGATGCTGCAACTCTCCCCATAGAGGCAGCATCCAAGGCCAACTCTTGGAGTCAAGCTGTTGCCCTGTTGAGTTCTGGCAGCCCTGGCTATGATGGGAGCATGCCAGGAGACCACTGTGCCTGCCTAGATGGTGTCACATCCCACATGTCCCCACACCTGCCCGGGCAGCAGGATGCTGGGAGGGGGGGGCTGTGGGAGCCAGAATGGTGGAAACGTTCAAAATCCACCTGTCTCACTTGCACTTGGTCTCCAACTCTGCACAAGGTAGCTCCAGAGCCTGGCTCCCATCCCCTTGCTCCACACTGGGGTCACTAAGCACCAGAGAAGTGAGGACACCTGTTTTTGAGGATAAAGATGGACCTGGTCATCCATAGAAACACTAGAAGTGAACTACCCTCATTCCAGGAGGCTTAAGGTGACTACCTGACCCACACCCTGGCTGTGTCTGTCTTCCTTGCCCACCTCATCTCTGCCCCGACACCTCAGCAGTCCCCTCCACCCGATAGGCAGCCTGGCCAGGGATGGAGGAACTCCAGTGGCTGCCAGGCACTGTTAGATCACATCAGGCTCCTGTCTCAGCCCAACCAGACTGGTCCAGCTACCTAAACCTAGGACTTGGGGTGGCTGTGCAGCCAGATCCCTGGGGGAGAAATGCCAAAGGCAGGAGGCTTCATTGGCCCTGAGGCCACACTTGCATCTTTGGCTGCTCCTTCCTGCAGTGATGCATCCACAGCAAACAAAGCCCATCCACTCTCACCCCTGACCACCCTTGCTGTCCTTTATAGAGTCCATAGCCCAGCTGATGCCCTCATTCTGCATGCACTGGAATTGTCAATGATACCAGGGGCTCCAATTCACCCACTCCAGAGTGAGGCAAACCCCAGAGGCACCTGTCATCCCCAGGCCACTAGCAAGGTGGCCCCAGGGTCAACTGTCAGGATGAGGTAGGAGCGAGTGCATGGATAGGTGCTGTACCGGGAACTAGGGCTTGGAGAGGGGAACCTCCTGCTCATATTGCTCCTCTGGCTTGGGGACCAGCACCTCTTGAGGACTGGGGGCCGGGACCTGGGGACAGGAAAGCAGGCAGGCCAGGCAGATCCAGAGAAAACAAGGGGCACGTTATTGGTACGCTCCATCTTTCTTGGCGTCCCCCACGTCCCCACATTCTGAGGACACAGTGCTGAGAACAATCACATGTGTGATCTTGAGGGCATCCATCTTACTCTGGGGTCTGAGCAAAGACCAAGCTCTCACCATCATTCTCCCACAGTGCCCCAACCCTACCAGCCCCAGCTGGGGACCATAAGCCAGGTTCAGAAGGAAGCAGACCCAGCCCCCACCCAGCCTGCCCTCACCTGGAGTCTTGTCCTGGCCAGCTCCTGCTGCAGCCCCTCCACCAGGGCAAAAGCCTCCCCAGGGCTGCATGGCTGCTGCCCCCCGAACGTGGGCCTGGATCTCAGGTGGCAGCATGCCCAGAAACCGCTCCAGTACCAAGAGCTCCAGCATCTGCTCCTCAGAGCATGCCTCTGGCTAAAACCACTGACAGCACAGCTCTGAGCTGGGCCAGTGCCTCATGAAGCCCCTCTTCCTCCTTGTAGCAGAACCCCAGAAGCACCTGCCATAGATTTCAGAGCTGGGTTCACCCACCATTGGGGCTGGTGTGCTCTGAAGGACGCCGGGGGCCAGGGCTGATGCCTTGTTCTTCTGGGCAGCCATCATACCCCTTCCCAGACAGGGTAGCCACAGGGCCCAGGGCGCTTCCTCTGGACCTGGAGACACAAAGGTGAGCCTGTGAGCACAGCCAGGCCATGAAGGCCCCTCCCCAGGACCCTCTGAGAGTAACTCTGGGTGCTTGTGCCTGTCAGTAAGACAGGAAGTGAGTGTCCCTGCCTCTGTGTCCAAGTGTTTGAAGGATATACCGAGGTGCCCAGTCTGTGGTCTTCTGTACCATCCCCTCCTCTCCCTGCTTTTCTCAGGGCCATCTGCCCTGGCTTCCTCAACTCCTTGGCTCCATTGATCCCCCACACAGCATGCCAAAGGCTGCAAACTGGATAGCCAGTCTTGCTTGACTGCTCCCTTCCAAAATGTTTTGTAAAAATTTAAATTAGTTACCAATGAATGTTAAAAAGTAATCAGATACTGATGGGAACGTCAACTGGTGTGGCCTGGCGGGGGCGGGGGCGGGCCCCCGAACGACACTGTGGCAGTTCCTCAAATGGTTAAACCCAGAGTTCCACGTGACTCAGCAATTCTACTAATAGGGTATCAATGCAAGAGAAATGAAAGTGTGGGGCGCCTGGGTGGCTCAGTCAGTTGAGCGTCTGACTTCGGCTCAACTCATGATCTCACGGTCTGTGAGTTTGAGCCCCACGTTGGGCTCTGTGCTGACAGCTCAGAGCCTGGTGCCTGTTTCAGATTCTGTGTCTCCCTCTCTTTCTGACCCTCCCCTGTTCATGCTCTGTCTCTCTCTCTCTCTGTCAACAATAAATAAACATTAAAAAAAATTTTTTTTTTTTTTAAAGAGAAATGAAAGTGTGTCCAGGCAGCTTTTTTAAACACACACACACAAAGAGCTACATGACCCACGTTGGGGCATCCTTTTTCCATTTTTTTCCTCCTTAATTTTGTGCGTGTTTTCAAATTTTTTAAAAAATAGAGATCTGTGGCAGCGCTGTGTGTGAGGAAACTGTTGCTAAGGAGTATTTGAGCTCTCCCCCATTTCTTTTCCTGTCTCTTTTCCTCTTTCTTTCTCCTGGTCAAGGTTTTAAATGTAACCAAGAAGCAGAGAAGCAAAAAAAAAAAAAAAAAAAAAAAAAAGTATCCATGCAAAAGCTTGCACATGAATGTCATAGCAGTAGTACAGATAATGCAGTAATACAGATAATATATAATATATATAATTACTATAGCAGCCAAAAAATGGTAACAGGCCAATGTCCATCAACTGATCAATGGATAAACAAAATGTGGCCAATACTTACAATCAAATATCATTTTGCCGTAAAAAGGAATGAAATATGGTTACATCCTATAGGATACGTGAACCTTGAAAACACTATGCTAGGTGAGAGAATCCAGACACAAAAGACTTCATAGTGAATGGTTCTATTTATCTGAAATGTCCAGGATAGGCAAATCTGTAAGAAACAGAAAGTAGATTAGTGACTGCCAGGAACTGGGAAGGAAGGAATGGATAATTTGATTAATTGGGTATGAAATTTCTTTTAGGGTGATAAAAATGTCCTGGAATTAGATCATGGTGATGATTGCACAAAAATGTGAATATACTAAAAAACAACAACTGTACGTATTAAAAGTGTTAATTTTTTTAGAAAGTCATCAGCCAAGGGGCACCTGTGTGGCTCAGCTGGTTGAGCATCCAACTCTTGATTTTGGCTCAGGTCATGATCTCATGGTTTGTGGGATCAAGGCTTGTGTCAGGCTCTGCGCTGGCAGCATGGAGCTTGTTTGGGATTCTCTCTCTCCCTCTCTCTCTGTCCCTCCCCCCTGCTCATGCTCTCTCTCTCTCTCTCAAAAATAAGTAAATAAACTTTCAAAAAAAAGACTTTCCCAAAAAAAAGTCATCAGCCGATTTCAAAAGGTTGTTACATGATTTCATGTATATAACATTCTTGAAATGACATAATTGTAGAAATAGAAAACAGAAAGCCAAGCCTTAAGGAGGGGATGGAGGCAGGAGAGAAGTAGGTGTGGCTATAAGGGCAACTTAAAGAATCAGGTGATGGAAATATTCCATCTATTAGATGTAGATAGAAATATTACTATCTATTTGATATGGTTATCATACTGTACTGTAGTTGTGCAAAAAGCTACCATTGGACAAAACTGGGTAAAAGCTACATAAGATCTCTGTATTATTTCTTACAGACGGGAATTTATAATTATGTCAAAAAAAAGTCCGTTTTTGTTTCTTGAAGGACCAGAAGACGTGGCTTCAGGAGTCCCATGTTTCTGGGGATAGAGTCTGGCAGGGATATCCCTCCAGGCAGGACTTATGCTTCAGAGCTGCCCAGCCCTCCGTCCCCTCTAACCCGGCCTTCCTGCCTGGGAGTCTGCCCATCTTGGGATAGTATCCAAACCCCTGAAGGTCGTCCCGATTGCCTTCACTGCTCCAGCCTCCCACCGTCCTCATACTCACCTTGCGTGCTCTTTTTCCACCTGAAAGCCTTTTCCTCCACTTTTCCCCCCAGAATGCCTAATCACCATGGTCTGTGGCCACCTCCCCAGTAAGGTCCCGTCTCCCACGCCAATGGGCTCTCATCCGACGGGTCCCAAGTGACTATTTGTGTCTACTCCCAACCCCCAATGCCCGGGCTCTCACCTACTGGGGACTGGGTGAAAAAATACAAAGCGGGAGAAGGGGAGGGACACTGAGCAGGAGACGTCCAAAGGGGGTTTTGGTCTCAGGAAGCTCTGGGCTTGGATCACACCGGGCAAGTGAGAGTGGAGGTTGGATGCTGGCGTGCAGAAGGCACACGCAAAGGCTCGGAAGCGGGAACCAGGAGCGCCGGGAGGAGGCCTGAACGAATGCATGAATAAACGGAGTTAGGAATGTTGGCGGGCCTAGGGAACGAGAGCAGGAGTAACGAATGGAAGGGTGAATAGACGGACAATAAATGACCTACGTGGCTCACGGAAGAGCGAGCAGAGCCCACCGACTCTCGGGCTACCGCACTTCCGTCCCGACCCCACTTGGCCGAGCCACTTCCGGGCTGCTCTGGGCGGCATGGAGACCTTACTCTCAGTGGTCCCAGAGCGCGCCTGCGAGGCCAGGCCGTGGGAGCCGGGGGCGCGGGTCCGATAACACGTCCGAGCTGGGATCGTTCTTTTCTGTGTAAAAGTCTCTCAGTTGCCCCCACTCAATTTGGGTTTGGGCAAGTGTGAATGCATGACTCAGGTAGACAGCATCCAATTCCCCTTGGCCCTCAGGATTGACTCAGGATCCACAGATGAACTACTTGGACCTATGGGTTTCACGGGGCAGGGATTCTTTCTGAACTATTAGGGCTTGTATTTCCTGTGGAACTTTAAACCCTGAATACCTGTCAGCAGGTACAGGTGCAGCCTTCGTGTCTCCATGAAGGGAGAACCTGTCAAGAGAATGGAGCCCACACAGAGAGGCAGAAATGAAGGACAGTGTATTAGTTTCCTGTGGCTGCTATAACATATTACCACAAACCTGATGGCTTAAAATACCGGAAATGCATTCTTTCACAGTTCTGGGTGCCTGAAGTCTGAAATCAGTATCATTGAGCTGAAATTGGAGTGGCAGGAAGGCTACCCTCTTTCTGGAGGTTCTAGGGGAGAATTCATACCCTTGCCTTTTCAACATTTAAACTGCATTCCTAGTATTCCTTGCTTATGGTCCCTTCTTCCACCCTCAAAAAAACTGGTTGTAACACCTTATTAAGAAACAAAATCTTTGACACATGTTCATTTTATACTTGCATGAGAGTCACAATTTTAGTTCTTTTTTTCTTAAGTAGGCTCCATGCCCAACTTAGGGCTTGAATTCATGACCCCAAGATCAAGAGTCACGTGCTCTACTGACTGAGCCAGCCAGGAGCTCTATGATTTTAGTTTTTTAAAAAGATGTATTCACTAACAGCACATAACAGTGACTACACTAACAAACAATCCCAGGATCTCAGTGGCTCAACACAATACAGACTTCCTTTTTGCTCATGTCACAGTCTCAAGTGGGTCAAGTGACCTTCCTAGAAGATTGTCCTTGATTTAGGTACCCAAGCTCCTTCTATCCTGGGTCTCTGCTGTTCTTTATGTCCTTCTCAGGATTTTCTGCTGAATCTCCTCTGTCCAGCTGACTGATGAAACAAGTGAAAAAGATGATGTAGGCCATTTTATGTTATCCATCACTCCTGTCCACATTCCATTAGCCAGAACTCATTCACGTGGCTCTGGGTAACTTCAGGGAGCCTGAAAAACATAGGTTTGTGGATGCAGGAAGAGAAAAGGGGATTGTTGGGTATTTTAGTCCATCTGTACCATAGGACACACAATGTCTCCCAGGAAGTCCCTGCTTTTGACTGGACTCAAAGGCTACCGTACTCCTAGCCATCCCAGTAGCCATTCAACTCCTTGTTCATATGGACTTTCTAATGCTTGATGAAGTTGGACTACCAGCAAAAGCTTTTCCTTATGCTTCTCACTTAGATGGTATAGTAACCAGCATTCAAGAGGACTGCCAACAATCCTCACCTCCTGATAGTCACACCTTTGTTGGTATGGTTTTCTCCTACATTGAATCAGGGACGGTCTGTGTCACCGGTAGAATATGGCATAAGTGACAGTGTGTGACTTGGACTCTTGAATCGCTTGCTCTGGGGGGCGAGGGGAGTCAACTCCCATGTCATGAGGACACTCAAGCAGCTCTACGGAGAAGCCCTTTAGACAGGAACCACTTGCCAACCATGTAAGTGAGCCATCTTGGTAGTGGACCCTTGAACCCATCATGCTTCAGAGGACTACAGCCTCATGAGAGACCCTGTCATGTGATTCATTCTGGCCAATGAGCGGTGAGAAGTACCCTGCAGCTGTTGGGCTACACTTTCAATTAAGAGGTGTGAGACCCCGAGAATTCCTTTTCTATCTTTCATATTAGTGTCCAGCTATGTTGGAGATAGTGGCTGTTCCGTTGTCAGGGACCCTGATGAGTGACAGCGAATGTAATGAGTAGTGCCCTAGCCAACCTGCGAAGCATGGTTTGGGCAGGAGTTAGTTTTAGTGTTTTCAGTCAGTAAGGCAGTAAGCTGTCACTGAAGTGGAACTGAGCCCACCTGGTCACATTCCTAGGTTCTCCCCAAAAAGAATTCTCTTGTGTTGAGGCTTGATGGGAAATTTTATTACATATATCATACCAATGGGTTTTTCTTTGGTTTGAATGTTTTCAGATCAAAACATGTTGATGGTTACAGGTCATTCATGGCATAGTGACCAGTGGTAGAGTTTACCTCCTTCATAAATCCTCTTATGCCTACCAAGGATTGATTTTTCAATAATAGAATGTCTCTCCAGAATACATGTTCTAGGTTTCTGTAAAAGATTGAGTTGTCTTTGGGTATAACCACAAAACGGGTATGGTAAATGTAAATGCAAACAGCTGAATGGAGGGGCCCTGCTCACTCCAGCAACAACCAACACCAAGAAGGCCTGATGCCTGCTATGACTATTTCCAAATGCCACTGTGGCTGTTAGTTTTCCATTGTTGCTATAACAAATCACCACAAATTTAGTGGCTTAAAACAATGCAAATTTATTATCTCACATAAAGCAAGGTTTCAGCAGTGTTGCTTCCTTCTGGAGGCTCAAAGGCAGGATATGTTTGCTTCCTTTTCTAGATTCTAGATCCCACCTACTTTCCTTGTCTTGTGGCCCTGTCTTCCATCTTCAGAGCCAGCAGTGAAACATCAGATTCTGCCCCTCCTGCCTCTTCTTATACAAAGATGTTGTGATTACATTGGGCCCATCATAAATAAACCAGGATAATCTCCCGCATCAAGATCCATTATCACACCTTATAGTCCCTTTTGTTGTGTGAAATAATATATTCATAGGTTCTAGGGACTAGGACACATACATCTTTTGAGGAAGGTGGGGTGCATTATTCTCCCACAACAGTGGCTTTTTCTGAGCTCTTCATATGGTTTACTGGGAAAACACAGTATGTGCATCAAGATGCCATTCAGATTAAACAAAACTATGGAAGTTTAGCCTGGAATCTAATACACATGCAGCTCAGAACAGTCCCATCTGGGTAGGGGCTCACTTGGCGGGCCATAACTAAAATATGCAGAGCGGGGGGAGTGAATCTGATGTGCAGCAAACATACATGGAAGGGTCAGACAGAGAAGGCCCACCTGATGGGTAGGAATATGGAAAGGAGGAAGAAGAGGACTTGCATGTTGATTAGGTTACTGATCAATGACAGTCACTAAGAGAGAATTGACCTGTTAAAGAGTTCATGG